TTTATTTTCTGGTGCTTTCACTTCCAGAGACAGTTGTAAGCACTGTGTAACTGCCTCGAGGGTGCTTGACCATTTTAACACAACGTGGTGCGATCATCCCCCTTGCGCGGAGTGAGGTTTCTCGACCCCGCACAACATGATCTACTCGACCACCATTATGGTTACCGCCAAAAAAAAAACCGGAGGTAAAAAAAAAAAAAACGGTAACCTGGTTGCCGAGTTTACGAAGTGAATTGGCTTGTTTTACAACGTCGTTGCCAAGCGACGAAAACACAACCCCGATGGCAAACACCGGGGGGGGCGGCTTGTCTTACAACGTCGTTGCCAAGCGACGAAAACCCAACCCCGATGGCAAACACCGAGGGGGGGGGGCCCGGGGGGGCGGGGGGCTCTAATTTCCTAATAATTTCGAAAGGAGCACCGTGGATAAAACCCCTCTGCAGTAGTGAGGGCAATGGCTCATTGTGAACGAAGTTCCTCATACTAATACTATGTAAAATCTAAATCGAAATTGCCCTCCCCGGGGGGGGGGAGCGTGGGGGGGTGGCCAACGTGTCCGGATTTTTTTCATGTGTACCCTTGTCTTCTCAGACGATGATTGGGGCGGTCAAAACATCTCGTGAGTTTTCAGTCGTACATGTCTCCCGTGGCGTGAACCGTTTTGAACGCTCTCACCTCGCTCTTCAACAAGCCCGCCAGGTTGTTCAGCACTAAGGCCACGTCAGGGTGGTCAGGTCCGAGAGCTCTTTCGCGGATGGCAAGAGAGCGCTCCAGCAGCGGCGCAGCTTCCTTACTCTTGCCCTGGAATATCGGGGGAAAGCGCATGGCGAGCGAGGCGGAGTCAGGGCTAGTGCGGAGGAACGAACACGCAACATACACGCCCGAATGGTCGAACAATCTGATTTCTCTCACCTCCACTATTGGTAAATTCGCCCGCGCGGTAACCACCACGCACCGGCAGAGCACGGCAAGAAGTTTCAAGGAAATTCGTATCACTCCCACAAACCTGATTGTGTAACAGCGCCGCCCGGTTGTGGAGCGTCAACGCCAGGCTTAGGTGCTCAGGGCCTAGAACTTTCTCTTCTATCAGCTGACACCGCGCATAGAACGGCTCAGCCTCAGCGTACTGGCCCTAAAGGTCAACGATACAGCGCAACAGGGGCGTATTACAGTCGAGGTCGAGGTCGGATCAACATCGATTCGCCGAGGAGCACGCTTTCAGCTAACACGCCCGGTTGACATGAGACGGTGGTCGATCGCAAACACTTGCACGAAACACTTCAGCCAACTCGACCAAATGGCCATTGGCGGCCCTGATCACGTTCCTCCGTATTTCGATTTCCAATTTCAAAAAATCAAGAGGAAAATCACTGGAAATGCCTCCATCAAGAGGGAATACTCAGGCTAGATATCTGCTTGAACCCGCCCCAGTACAAGCTTATTCTGCTCGGGGCGGCCAACCTGCACAATATAAATGAGAGTCATATATGCCTCTCGTTCATGGACGGGTTTAACCGCTCTCACCTGACTCTCCAACAAGCCCCCCAGGTTCTTGAGCGCTGTGGCTACGTGAGGGTGGTCAGGACCTAAAGCTTTCTCCACGATGGCAAGGGAACGTTCGTACAATGGCCCGGCCTCCTCATTATTGCCCTGAAATCAGGGCAAGAGGGCAAGAGAGGGATAAACAGGCTTAGTGGATCATACCGGTTGCAGTGGGGTAGCCATCGCCACCGCCGCCGCCGCCCCGTCCGCCAATGATAGGTAGACTATGCAGCAGGTCAAAACGTACTCTCTAACCAACTGAGTTCCGATATATGTGGGCGGCCTGATCACCAAAGACGCGAGCTCATGCCCAAGATTCGCCGCAGGACCGAAGCTGCGTGGGGGGGCGTCAAGCAGCTCTTCCGTTAGCTGTTCAACCGATGAACAGTACCCTGGTGCGCCTGCTGAACGCGGAAGCGGTGGAGGCTCTGCTTTACGGATGCGCGGATGCATGACGCCGGCACCACGCATCGACCACATCGGGGAGTTGAGAAAAACAAACTACGTACTCTTCCTGCGAGTCATCGGGTACCGCCGCGTCCAAGGCACATATCGGCAGCTGTCGTATGGCAAAGCCTTGAAGCTGACCTAAAGCCAGAGTGTGGAGGCGATCACCCGCCAGCGGCAACTCCTGTTCGCGGCAGGTATGGCGAGACAGGCACACGGGAAACTTCCAAAACGTCTGATGTTCGGGGCAAAAGTGGGGGAGGAGAAGCCGCGTCCAGGCCGACGGGCGCAGCCCTGGGGGAAGTCACTGGCGGACAATGGTAAGGCGCTGGAGGCCACTGCTGGCTCAACAGACGATGTGCGGTTGACTTTCGAAGTCGATCACGCCGTCTGCTAGCTGCCCGGAAGGATGGTGGGGCGGCATGATACACGGGGGTGAAGAAGGGAGGGGAGAGGTTCATGGCGGCGTGGCACGAGAAAAAGAGGAGGCCCGCGAGAAAAAGAAAACGAGGACAGCCGACTTTGACAGATTTCGAGAGATCGGGAACCAAATAAAACCACCGCAAAAGGATATGGAGGAAAGAATTCGGAGGAGGGGGGACATTCCTGGTCCATGCCTCTTGCGTCGGTGTTACCTCAACATAAAGGAAAATGTAATGTGTCTGCGGCGTCAGCTGTTCTACCACACACACATTCCGCCGCCTCCTGCCTTGTATTGTTCGTCTCGCCTTCGTCTTGTGTGTTCACACGTTGTTTGTATTGTCATAGTTTTCCCCCCAACTGCTGCCTTGACTTTTCATGAAGAGCCAAGAGCGGGGGGGGGGGGGAA